GATTGGGGGGAGGGGTAAATCTGCAACTAAAGGACATGGGGAGCACTGTAGGGGGGAAGGGCATGCCTTTAACCTGCACTTGGGTGAGGTAAAGACATAAAGTGTAACCAGAATGTTTGTACCCTCATAATACCCTGAAATAAAAAAAAAAAAATTCTTCGAACTAAATGATAACAGAAACACAAGTTATCAAAATCTGTGAGATACAGCAAAAGCATTCCTGAGAGGAAAACTAATAGCATTAAATGCCCACATCCAAAAGATAAAAAAGTCACAAATCAACAAACTAATAGACTGTATCAAGGAACTGGAAAAGGAAGAGCAAATCAATCCTAAACCCAGCAGAAGAAATCAAATAACTAAGATCAGAGCAGAACTAAATGAAATCAAGAACAAAAGAACTATACAGAAGATTAATAAAACCAAAAGTTGGTTTTTCAAAAAGATAAACCAAATTAACACCTCTCTTGCTAGGTTGACCAGAAGCAGAAAGGAAAGGACTCTAATAAGCTCAGAAATGAAAAAAGAGAGGTCACTATAAACATCACAGAAATACTTGTCTTTGAATACTATAAAAACCCATACATCCAAAAACTACAAAATGTGGAGGAAATGGAGAAATTCTTAGAAACACACAACCTCCCTAGGCTCACCTAGGAGGAGATAAGAATTCCTGAACAGACCAATATCAAACACAGAAATTGAAGCAACAATTAAAAAATATTTCAACAAAAAAAAGTCCCGGACCAGATGGATTCACACCTGAATTTTACCAAACTTACAAAGAAGAACCCATCTCTATACTGCAGAAATTATTCCACGACGTTGAGAAGGATGGTATCCTCCCCAACTCATTCTATGAAGCCAATATCACCTTGATACCAAAGGCAGGAATGGAAACAACAGAAAAAGAAAACTACAGACCAATATCCCTCATGAATATAGATGCAAAAATCCTCAACAAAATCTAAGCAAATCTAATTCAACAGCACATCAAAAAATAATTCATCATGACCAGGTGGGCTTTATCCCAGAGATGGAAGGATGGTTCAACATACATAAATCTATAAATGCAATTTACCACATAACTAAATAATAGCAAGAACCAAGACCATATGATCCTCTCAATAAAAAGTTAATTAATGAAATGTATGTGATGTATTACTTAAATTCAATGATCAGTAATATTCTGTCTCATTTTCTCTAGCCCCCCCCTTCCTTCCTTCAACCCTTCCCTTTTCCCCTTCGACTTTTTTTGCAAGAGATTTCCTAAATACTTGAGGCATTAAAAAATATTAGACTGAAGTAACTCTATCTGGTTGTTTCACACCTTATCTTACCTCCCAGAGGCACCAAACACTTATTAAAACACTTTTCCTGGGGTGGGATCATAGAACAGTGATCACAAAAGACTCCCTTAGGGACCATGTCATTGCCATGTGCCAGGTTCACTAGTTAATTGGATTACTATATCAGTTCTTTGTTCTTAATTCTTGAAAGTGACATACAGATAACGTAATTTACCTATGTATGTATACACAAGTATTTCTGAAATACATAAACACATTGTTCCCCTTCCCATACTTTTATTTCTTTCCCATTTTTCTCGTAACAGTATGTTCATATACGTATCTTTCTCATTAGCATAAAATTGCCAGGATAGTTAGGTAAGTTAATCAAAGGTAATTCCAATGGCTTTGGCTATAAAACAGCCCTGAGCTGAAAATTAGAAGATCTAGTTCTAGCAAACTTCTTCTACTAATTAAAATGTGACTTTGACAGATCATTTCTCTGCTTTCAGCCTCCATTTTCTTATCTGGTTATTAAGGAGTTTGTACATGATTTTCAAGGTCTCTCTCAGTGAAAAAGTCAGCAGAATTCATTTATTCAGTAAGCATTTATTCCAAGTGCTGAGGATATAGAAGCAATCAAAACAGGGAAAAATCCTTTTTCTCCTCAGGCTTATATTTGAATGAAAGGAGATAGGTAAATAAATAATTGAGTTGATAGAGAATATCAAAAAGTGGTAAGTGGTTTGGTGTATAATAAAGCTATGTGGATAGAGAGGACTGTTGGGAGGGGGTTGCTATTTTAGATAGGTCAAGGGAGCTCTAAAGGAGGGGACAGGTGAGCCTGTGGATATGTGGGGAACAGCAAAGAGCACCAGGGAGGCCTCTGGGAGGCAGAGTGGAGGGGTCCTGGGGGAGAGTCTGGAGGGGCCTTGGAGAGGTGCAGGTCAGTCCAGCCTTTTGCTGGGAGTAATTAGGATCACTTGGGAATATTTTGAGCAGAAACACTACAACATCTGACTCACATTTTAAAGGATCATTTTAGTTGTTATATTGAGAAGAGAATGAAGAGAGAAGAGTGGGGTGGTAGATAGTGGAAGCAAAGAGACCTGTTAGTAGGCTGGTGGCTCAGAACAAGCTGGTCACAGAAAAAAATGGAGTGAAGTAGTTGGATTTTGAGGTGGGACTAACAGGATTTAATGATAGATTGCGTGTAGTACAGGACAAAGGGGAATCAAGTGTAGTTCCATGGTATTCTGCCAGAGGAACTGAAAAGACAAAATTGCCATTAACTGAGTTGGGAAATCTAAAAGCAAGTCTGAAAATGTCATAAAAGCAAGCTTCAGAAAGAAAATCAGGAATTCAGGTTTGGACGTGTTATATTTGAGATGTAACTGAAATAGCTAATAGACATCCAAATGAATATATCAAGTAGTCAATTAGCATATGTGGACCTAGAGTTCTGGGTCACAGGAGTGGAGGAATAATTTGGTAGTCATCAGATGCTTTTAAATGGCCATGAGACCTAGGCACAGTGGTCGTTGATGGAGGTATTGCAGGCAGAGAAGAGGTCCAAGGGTTGTGTCCTGGAGAGATGAGAAGATTTAGAAAAGGATACTGAGAAGGAATGGCCAGTGATATGGGAGGAAAGCCAGGAGAGTGTGGTATCCAGGGGCCACAAGAAAAGTGTTTCAAGGAGGAATCACCTGCTTCACATGTTGCTGATGGGTTAAATGAGATAATGGCTGGGAAGGGATTGGCTGGAGTGTAACAGAGAGATTGGGGCAAAAGCAATGAATTAAATTGCAATGAATTTATAAGAAAATAGGAGAATGGGAATTGGAGTCAGCTAGTACAGACAACTTTTCATGGAGCTTTACTTAAAATGAGCAAAGACATGGGCAGTAGCTGGGAGGGAACATGGTCAAAAGGGCTTATTTAAAGGTGACAGAAATAATAACAAAATGATAGCATGTTTGTATGCCAATGAAATGATTCAATAAAGAAGGAAAATTGATAACATAGGATAAGTAGGGGAGAATGACTGTCAAAGTATTTGAATAGACAGAGAACTTGCGGTCTAGTGCATACATAGGCTTGGCCTTAGGAGCATGGAGGCAGTTCATCTATGACACATTAGAAAGGGAGGCAGAGTATGGGGAAAGGGCTGGGAGAAAGAAGGGCCACTAGGAGAACTTAAGGAGGTTCTATTCTAACTCCTTTATTCAGAAACGAGGAAGTGGGATCATCAGTCCAAGGTGAGGACTGGGGAATAGGGTTAGAGATTTGCAGAAAAAGTAGGAGATATTAAATACTTGTCTAAGACAGTGGGCAATTATATGGTCCAAGGCAGGACCAGAGACCTCTTGACATTTGAGGCTGGATTATTCTCTGCAATAGGAAGGTATAGAGCAGGTACACTGTGGAATGCTTGTGCCTCCCAGGCCTCACCCACTGCATGACAGCAGCAGCCTTCCCTCTTTTCCTCCCTCAGTGGAGACAACCAAAACTGTCTCCAGACATTGCCAAATTTCCCTGGGGCCAAAATTGTCCCCAGGTGAGCACCATTGGTCTAAAGAGGTGTCGTATGATTGCTAGGAAGCATTAACAGCCAGGTTGAGGTTCATAATCATGAATTTAACATGAGATCATTCAGCATTGTTGTGTTACATTCACCTGTGCAGGTGTAGGCATAGAATAAGGAGAAAGTTAGATTTAACCAGGTTTGGGGTTTTGCCAATTGAGTACAATGAAGAAAGAAGAGAAGAGCCAAGGAATTATTTTAAAATCGATCATGGAATTTACCTGGGTGAGAATAGAAGTGAGGAAAGATGCTAGGAACATTAGATTGTAAATCCTACTTGGGTCAAAGAATTATTGGGATTGGGGTTCTAGAGAGTGATGCAATGTTAGGGATTTTCAAAAATAACCTGCCCTCTGTTGGTGTCTAGGAAGGAAATCTCAGATGGAGGAAGTGCAGGACGAACTCATCCACAGACTGACCATTGGTCGCGGTGCCGCTCAGAAGAAGTTCCATGTGCCACGGCAGAACGTGCCAGTTATCAACATCACTTACGACTCCACACCGGAGGATGTGAAGACATGGTTACAGTCAAAGGGATTCAACCCTGTGTAAGTCTCTCTCTGAATACTTTCCAATTCTTTATGTAAAACATTGTTTTCAATTTTGGTTACTTAGATGTCACAAACGACTCTTAAAAAAAAAAGAGCACAGACTGCATACTTTGTTCCATACTCAGGAGATGACTATTCATAGCTAAAAAAGAGCTGAACGAAGAAGAAATAACCATCATTTGATACCACCCCATTTTCTAGTTGGTAGTATCTGTTCATCACTGGTTCTTTAAGCAAACTGTCAGCAGCTTTGAGGCCTGGTAGCTTTCTTTCTCGCTCATCAGGTTGCACAGGATAGGGCCATGGTCTTAGCTAGACTTCCCAGACCATGTAGGACATACAGCATAAGCTTTCCTCCTGCTGTAGGATATAGCATCTCAGAGAAATATCAATAAAAAATAGATAACGGCCAG